TATATGTTAATTAATTAAATTTAAATTAACAAAAAAAGACAAAAACTAAGAGAATTTACCTCCATCAGATTGGTACTATAATAAATGTAAAAAAATATTTCTTTCAGCACAAGGGAAATGATAACAGAAACCTGGTTCTTCAGAATGAAATAAAAAGTCCCAGGAAGGTAAATATACCAGTAACTTAAGGGCCGGAAAAGGGGGGGGGTGTGGAGGGTTTGAAAAAGAACTACCGAAGTATTATAGAGTTTATATCCTACACAGAATTAAAATATGTTAACAGCACATCAGGCAGAAGGGGGTAATTGGAAGTACACTGAATTTCTTACAGTGTTCCTGAAGCAGTGAAATATTTTTAAATGAAGACTGTGATAAAAACTGACAGTGTAATCTCAGAGCAACCACTAAAACAAGAAGAGTGAACAGAAGAGACATAAATAAAAAGTCAATAGAAGAGACAAAATGGAATACTAAAGAATCCTCAAGTAACCAAAGAAAGGCAGGAAAGGAGTAGAAGAATAAAAAATAGATGGAACAAATACAAAACAAATACCAAGATCAAAGACCTAACAATAAACATACAATAATTACATTAAGTGTAAAGGTACACTACATGCCCCAACTAGAAAGCAAAGATTACCAACTGGTGTATTAAAAAGATTCAACTCTAGGGGTGCCTGGGTGGCTCAGATGGTTAAGCATCTGCCTTCAGCTCAGGTCATGATCTCAGGGTCCTGGGATTGCACCCTGCATCAGGCTCCCTGCTCAGCGGTAAGCCTGCTTCTCCCTCTCCCTCTACTGCTCCCCCTGCTTGTACTCTCTCACTCTTTCTCTTGAATAAATAAATAAAATATTAAAAATAAGACAGCAGGGGCGCCTGGGTGGCTCAGTCGTTAAGCGTCTGCCTTCGGCTCAGGTCATGATCTCAGGGTCCTGGGATCGAGCCCCGCATCAGGCTCCCTGCTCCGCGGGAAGCCTGCTTCTCCCTCTCCCACTCCCCCTGCTTGTGTTCCCTCTCTCACTGCCTCTCTCTGTCAAATAAATAAATAAAATCTTTAAAAAATAAATAAATAAATAAAAATAAAAAAGCATAGCTATATTAATCTCAAACGAAGCAGACTTAAAGACAGAGAATTACCAGAGATAAAGAGCATTTTAAAATGATAAAAGGACAAATTCATCATGAACACATGACAATCCTAAATGTGTCTACACCTAATAAAGTTCAAAATACATGGAAAAAATTACAAAACTAAAGATACAAACAGCAAATCCATTAAGAAATCAGAAAGAATACAGAATATTTTTAGACAATCCATCAACTTAACCTAACTGACATTTATAAAACACTACCCAACACAACAAAACAGAAGTTCTTCTCACATGCACAGGGAACATTCATTAAGACACACCATATGTATGAGTCATAAACAAGGTTCAATAAATTGCAAAAGACTAAAATCACGCAAGAGTATGTTGTCTGATCAAAACAGTATTTTTTAAAAGATTTATTTGTTTGTTTGAGAGAGAGAGAGAGAAAGAGAGCACACGCATGCTTAAGTTGGGGGGCAGGGGAGGCAGAGGGCAAGGGGGAGAGAATCCTTAAGCAGACTCCCTGCTGAGCACAGAGCCCCATGCAGGGTTCAATCCCTGGGCCATGAGATCATGACCGGAGCCAAAATCAAGAGTCAGATCCTTAACCGACTGAACCACCCAGGTGCATTGATGAGAACAGTATTAGATTAGAAAACCATCACAGTAAGAGATCTTAAAAATCCTCAAATGTTGGTAAATTTAAGTAAAAAAATAAACCAGAGGGAAATATAAAAATATTTAAAACTTAACTACAATAAAAACACCACATATTTGGGGCACCTGGCTGGCTTAGTCAGTAGAGCACACAACCTTTGATCTCAGGGTCATGAGTTGAAGTCCCACGTTGGGTGTAGAGCTTACTTAAAAAACAAAACAAAAGAACAAAACACCACAGGGGTGTCTGGGTGGCTCAGTCAGTTATGTACCTGACTCTTGATTTCAACTCAGGTCTTGATCTCAGGGTCATGAGATCAAGCCCCACATCAGGCTCCCTGCTCAGTGGGGAACCTGCTTCTCCCTCTCCCTCTGCCTGCCGCTCCTCCTGCTTGTGCTCTCTCTCTGTCAAATAGGTAAAATCTTAAAAAAAAAAAAAAAATCCGAAAAGTTTAGAATTTAGCTATAGCAATTCATACAGAAAAATTTATAGTTTTAAAAAAAAGCCTCTATCCAAAAAGAAGACAGGAATAAAATTAAGAAACCGGAAAAAGAAACGCAAACTAAACTCAAGGTAAGTAGAAGTAATAAAAATAAAAGTGGAAAATTAGCATATCAAAAACATTAATAGATTTGATAAAACCCCTAGCAATACAGATTAGAAAAAAGAAAATACAAATTACCAATGAAGAGAGGACATCACTATAGCTCCACAATAAGGGAACAATGGAAATAACTTGGTGACAGTAAAATAGGTTACTGAGATGCATTAAAAGCATTCAAAAAAATTTAGTATCAATTAATGATTAAAAAAAAATACTCTCAGCAAACCAGGAAGAGAAGGATACCTTCTCAATCTGATCAAGGATATCTACCAAAAAAAAACAAAAACAAAAACAAAAAAAACAAACCAGACTAGTACCATACTTAATGGTACAACACTAAGTAATATCCCCCTAAGAACAGGAACGAAGCAAGGATGTCAACTTTTACTGCTTCAATTCAACATAATAGTAAAGGTCCTAGCCGTTGCAATAGGCAATAAAAAGAAATAAAAGGCATAAACACTATAAAGGAAAAAGTAAAACTGTATTTGCAAATGACATAATTATGTACATAGAAAGTCTTAAGGAAATGTACAAAAAAGCTACCAGAACTAGTAAGTGAATGTAGCCATGGCACAGGATACAAAGTCAATATGCAAAAAATCAATTCTATTTCTGTTTATTAGCCACAATTTAAAAATTGTTTTAAATACCACACGCAAATACCTCCGAAAACATAAAGACCTAGAGTGAAAACTATGAAATGCTATAGAAATAAATGGAAAAATATTCCATGTTCATACACCAGAAACCCAAATACTATTGCGATGGCATTACTCCCTGAATTGATCTATACTACAGATTTAATGCAATTCCAATCAAAAAACTCCCAAGTAGGCTAGGCTTTGTGCATGTGTGTGCATGTGTGTGTGTATGTGTATCCATGAGCATGTGTGTGCATGTGTGTATGGAAATAGGCAATCTGATTCTAAAATATATACATATACATGCAAAGGACCTAGGATAGCCAAAACAATTTGAAAAAACAAAGAAATAAGAGGCCTTATGCCACCTGATTTCAAGACATACTATATACTAATAATCAAGACTACGATATTAGGCAAAAAATCAGACATGAATCAGTGGAAATAAAGAGAATCCAAAACACATATATATGGTCAAATCATTTAATGAAGATGCCAAAGCAACTCAAGATGGGGAAAAAAAATGTCTCCTCAAAAAATGGGTATCAGAAAAACCAGATATCCATATCCAGTGGAGGGAAAAAATGAACCTCCAACCCCTAACTAATACCAATACAAAATATTTCAAGATCACAAACCTACATGTAAAATATAAAACTATAATGCATCCAGAGAAAAACAATCAAATATCACCTTGACTTAGGGTAACAAAGACTTCCTATGGAAGTCTCTGAAAGCACTAACCATAAAATAGAAATATTGAGTATCATCAAAATTTCAAAATTCTACTCATCAAAAGATACTATTCAGAAAATGAAAAGACAAGTCAGTCTGGAAGAAAACATTCTTAATACTTATTTCTGACAAAAGACTTGCATCTAAAATATATAAAGAACTCCTATAATTTAATGAAAAAAGAAAAACAATTCAGTAAAAAATGGGCAGATTAAACACTTCCATGTACAAAGATATTTGAATGGCCAATAAGCATATTATAAAATGTTCAACACCAACCATTAGAGAAATGCTAATTAAAAGCACAATAACATACCACCACACACCCACTAAAATGGCTAAAATTAAAAAGATAAATAAACACCACCAAATTTTGGTAAAGGTGTGGAGCAACCAAAATTCTCACACATTTGCTAGGGAGAGTAAAATAGTACAACCACTTTGGAAAACAATTTAGCAGTTTCTCATAAAACAAAATATGTACCTACCCTGTGACCCAGTAATTCTACTTCCAGTTATTAAACATATGCCCAACAGAAAAAGCCTTATACAAGAATGTGCACAGCAATTTTATTCATAATAGCCCAAAAGTGAAAGCAGTCCAGATATATCCATCCACAAGGAGAATGAATTAAAAAAAAACACACAGTACACTCATTCAAAAGAATACTACTTAACAAAAAAAAGAGCAAACTATTCCTCTACACAACACAAACCAATCTTAAAAAGCATTATCCTGAATCAATGAAGCCAGGAACAAAAGAATACATACCATATACTCCATTTATATAAGGAAACTGTATAGGCAAAACTAATCTGTGGTGAGAGAAACGAGACCTGTGATTGCTTTGGCAGGAGTGGGAGTGTTTGGGAAGGGCCCTAACTTACTGGGGTGATGGAAATGTTCTAAATCTTGATAAAAGTGTAAGTTACACAGATGTCTAGATTTGTCAAACCTGATCAAACTGTGCATTTAAGTTCTGTGAATTTCACTGTGTAAATTATATCTCAATTTTTTTAAGTTATATTTTAAAAAGAAGTTGGTTGAAGTCAATTATAAATTATGTTCCAATCTGGAAAGAAGTGCACACTTAAGAGACAACTCAAAGGTGATATTAAAATAACTAGTAAAATGAAATTTAGTACAATGATATATGACAACTACAAAATCAGATCTGATCTAAACATTCAAATATATTTAAAACACAAAATAAATAAATTAAAAAGTGTAAAAATGACTTTGGTAAAGTGCACAGGTAAGCCTCACCCACAGTCAGACATATTTGCAATACATGCACCGCTCCTTCTTGTTTCAGAAAGTTCATAAAACGAAATAAGAGATCTTGCTGCTCTCTGATTTGCTTCAATTCTAACTTCAGCACCTTGATACAATATGGGAGAAGAGTAAGTTAAGGCCATATAAACACATGATAAAATTGTTTATATCAAAAATAATATACATTATTGCTAAAAATACTTACAGACGGCTTTTTATTTCTAGGTTCTGCAAATTTCTGCAAGAATGGAACCAAGGGGGAAGGCAGTTCAGTTGCTTTTTCAGGCTTTAAGAAAGAGAATTTATTAATTCAGTAAAAGTACAATGTGCTTTGACAGATATGAATCAAAATTCATACTTAATACTCAATACTCACTGGACTGTCATCTATGAAGATGATAAGCAAATGATTCACAGTATCCTAATGGAAAATAATACACATGGGTCAAAATAATTCCATTACTATATTCTTTTTTTTTTTTAAGATTTTATTTATTTATTTGACAGAGACACAGAGAGAGAGGGAACACAAGCAGGCGGAGTAGGAGAGGGAGAAGCAGGCCTCCCATGGACTAGGGAGCCTGATGCGGGGCTCGATCCCAGGACCCTGGGATCATGACCTGAGCTGAAGGCAGACACTTAACGACTGAGCCACCCAGGCGCCCCCACATTACTATATTCTGCCTAAAATTCTCAAAGCATTTTTCATATTGTGAAAGTTTCTAGAAAAATGAAGAAGCAAATGGAACAGTGGCAAAGCATCTGCACATATATAACACAGAGGGACTTTAAAAAATCTGCAATGCAGGGGGTGCCTGGGTGCCTCAGTCAGTCGAGCATCTGACTCTTGGTTTTGGCTCAGGTCATGATCTCAGGGTTGTGGGTATTGAGCCCCAAGTTGGGCTCCACACTCAGCAGGGAGACTGCTTGGGATTCTCTTTCCCTCTCCCTCCGCCCCTTCCCCAGCTCATGCTCACACTCTCTCTCTCAAATAAATAAATACTTTTTTAAAAAATGTGATGCAGGGTCTCACTTTTTGGAAAGTGGGCAAAGAAAAGTTATTCTGACTTCAGCATTTAAAGTGTTTATAAATTATTCCTGTTTCTTCAAAATCTTACTGGTTCAAAAGTAAAAGTAATTCAAGTTTCCACCAATGGATGCATAAATAGCAAAATGTGGTATATATCTACAACGGAATATTATACAGTCTTGATAAGGAACAAAATTCTAATATATGCTACAATGTGGATGAATCTTGGGGACATTATGCTAAGGGAAATAAAGCAGTCACAAAAAGACAAATAATGCATGGACCCACTTATAGGAGGTACCAGAGTAGTCAAATTCATAGAGACAGAAGTATGTTGGTGGTTGCCAGGGGACTGGAGGAAAGAAGAATGGAGAATTATTAATGGGTACAGAATTTCAGTTTTGTAAGGTGAAAGAGTTCTAGAGACGCATAGTAGTGATGGTTGCTCAACAATGAATGTACTTAATACCACTGAACTGTATATATAAAAACATTTAAGATGATAAACTTTATGTTATATGTATTTTACCACAAATTAAAAACACTTTTTGAGCCTTACTGGATCAGCTAGGAAATCCAAAGAAGGAAGGAACACCGAACCGGAAAGGATCTCTCTTAAAAGTAAGGTCAGGGATCTGGAAAAACAATATTGCACATATTTAGTGATTTACATCAGTTCTTACCTGGAGATCTTGTTAAAATGCAGACTATGATTCAGTAGGTATGCCCCAAGATTCTGCATTTCTAAAAAGCTCCCAAGTAATGCTCATGCCAGTGGTTCACAGACCATACGTGGATTCCTGAACTGGCTAAAAGAAAGTATTGTTTAAGAGGAAAAAGCATTTCCTTAACAGGAGGGATTTGGGTGAACATTAGAAAACACTCCCCACCTCAGAAAATTTAAAATACTTAATACATTTTAAAATTAATGTTTAAAACTAATAATACAATTTGTAATTATAATAAATTAACATTATACGTTAATCTGTTTAAAATATTTTCATTAAAATATTCTAAATTTTGGGGCGCCTGGGTGGCTCAGTCAGTTGGGCAGCTGCCTTCGGCTCAGATCATGAGCCTGGGGTCCGGGGATCGAGCCCCACATCTGGCTCCCTGCTCAGTGGGGAGCCTGCTTCTCCCTCTCCCTCTGCCTGCCACTCTGCCTACTTGTGCTCTCTATCTCTGTGTCAAATAAATAAATGGAATCTTTAAAAAAAATTAAAAAAAATAAAATAAAAAAATAAAATATTCTAAATTTTTAAAAATTTTAATAAAAACTTTATGTTATGGGGTGCCTGGGTGGCTCAGTAGGTTAAGCGTCTGCCTTTGGCTTGGGTAGTGATCCCAAGTTACTGGGATCAAGCCCTAAGTCGGGCTTCCTGCTCAGCGGGGAGCCTGTTCCCTTAGATTATGAGAATAATCTAAACAAATTCCTGCCAGAACGAGAAACAATGGTCTAGATGAATTCTAATTATTCTTGCCAGGTATAACCTTAAAACACAACTTTGGTTTGGTCTCTTTAGTTTTTTGTTTTGTTTTGAAGATTTTATTTATCTGACAGAGAGAGACACAGCAAGAGAGGGAACACAAGAAGGGGGAGTGGGAGAGGGAGAAGCAGGCTTCCCGCTAAGCAGGGAGCCCAACGTAGGGCTCAATCCCATGGCCTTGGGATCATAACCTGAGCCGAAGGCAGATGCCCAAAGACTGAGCCACCCAGTCGCTCCAGGTCTGTTTAGTTTATTCAAAGTGTTTCTGCCAATGAGTCACAATGTTTATGTCTTTAAAATGGAACACCAAGAGGGCGCCTGGGTGGCTCAGTTGGTTGAGGGACTGCCTTCAGCTCAGGTCATGATCCTGGAGTCCTAGGATCGAGTCCCGCATCGGGCTCCCTGCTCAGCGGGGACTCTGCTTCTCCCTCTCCCGCTCCCCACTCTTGTGCTCTCTCTCTCTCTCATTCTCTCTCTCAAATAAATAAAATCTTAAAAAATAAAATGGAACATCAAGAAATTAACAAAGTATAACGATCTCAAATAAAAAAACTGATTTTATTCATATTTATCTTGATTTTCCCAAGATCACTTCCCCCCCGCAAAAAAATTCTAAGCAACACAACATATGTTGTTGTGTTTAGCACTAAAATGGCATTTTAATACCTGACAAATTATATTTCTTAAATGAAAATTTATTCACATCTCAAGTTTTAGTCTACTCCCATTATGATCAAGAATAACAATATACATATGTCATGGTATGCAAATACTGCTATGACATTTTCTGGACTATTTATACCTGCAGTCTGTTGCTTTAGGAGGCAAAATATAAGGAAAAAGCAGTTCAGTAAGTTTCCTTAAATAGTGTAATTCATCTCTTCGACTCCTCAAAGCCACATGAAGCTCTGGACCATATTCTTCTAAAGCAGCTTGCTGTAAAAACTCTGTATTTTCTACTATAAATAGAGATAAAAAAATAAATATTGAAAGAAGTTAAGCAACATTAAATAACTTCAGTCATTTCCACTAACAAACAGAAAACCATTTATACAGTCATTCCTTTCCTAGCCCTCCCTTCTTTCAAACATGTATTCTACTGGGAAATTTTTCACAAAAAGGATATAAAAAGAACAATTTTCCTCCTTGCCATAAGTTTTTTAATTTTGCAAAAAATTGATAAAAAGACCTCTTCCCATGGCAAATAAGAATTTTAACTCATATCACTACCTTACAAATGATTTTAAACAAAAGCAAATATTTATTTTAAAAGGTGGAAAAAACTACAGAAAACTTCTAGCACATCCAAAGGCATTGTTATCAAATGTTATACCTTGTTCATCCTCTGCAAATACACACACACACACACACAAACTCTGTTAAAACTCTTTGTTGTCTGCCAGCAAATTAGACAATCTGGAAGAAATGGATGCATTCCTAGAGATGTATAAACTACCAAAACTGAACCAGGAAGAAATAGAAAACCTGAACAGACCCATAACCACTAAGGAAATTGAAGCAGTAATCAAAAATCTCCCAGCAAACAAGAGCCCAGGGCCAGATGGCTTCCCAGGGGAATTCTACCAAACATTTAAAGAAGAATTAATACCTACTCTTCTGAAACTGTTCGAAAAAATAGAAATGGAAGGAAAACTTCCAAACTCATTTTATGAGGCCAGAATTACCTTGATCCCAAAACCAGACAAAGACCCCATCAAAAAGGAGAATTACATACAGACCAATATCCCTGATGAACATAGATGAAAAAATCCTCACCAAAATACTAGCCAATAGGATCCAACAGTACATTAAAAGGATTATTCACCACTACCAAGTGGGATTTATTCCTGGGTTGGTTCAACATCCGCGAATCAAGCAATGTGATACAATACATTAATAAAAGAAAGAACAAGAACCATATGATACTCTCAATGATGCAGAAAAAGCATTCGAGGGGCAACTGGGTGGCTCAGTTTTTAAGCATCTGCCTTCGGCTCAGGTCATGATCCCAGGTTCCTGGGGTCAAGCCCCATATTGGGCTCCCTGCTCAGCAGGAAGCCTGCTTCTCCCTCTCCCACTCCCCATGCTTGTGTTCCCTCTCTCGCTGTGTTTCTCTCTGTCAAATAAATAAATAAAATTATTTAAAAAACGAAAAAGAAAAAGCACTTGACAAAATACAGCATCCTTTCTTGATTAAAACTCCTCACAGTGTAGGGATAGAGGGTATATACCTCAGTATCATAAAAGCCATCCATGAAAAACTCACAGTGAGTATCATTCTCAATGGGGAAAAACTGACAGCTTTCCCCCTAAGGTCAGGAACATGGCAGGGATGTCCACTACCACCACTGCTACTCAATATAGTATTAGAAGTCCTAGCCTCAGCAATTAGACAACAAAAAGAAATAAAAGGGATCGGAATCGGCAAAGAAGAAGTCAAACTCTCATTTTTTGCCAATGATATGATTCTTTACGTGGAAAACCCAAAAACTCCACCCCAAAACTGCTAGAACTCATACAGGAATTCAGTAAAGAGGTAGGATATAAAATCAATGCACAGAAATCAGTGGCATTTCTATACACCAACAAGAGAGAAGAAAGAGAAATTAAGGAGTCGATCCCATTAACAACTGCACCCAAAACCATAAGATATCTAGGAATAAATCTAACCAAAGAGGCAAAGAATCTCTACTCAGAAAACTACAGAATACTCATGAAACAAACTGGGGAAGACACAAAGAAATGGAAAAACGTTCCATGCTCATGGATTGGAAGAACAAATATTGTGAAAATGTCTATACTACATAGAGCAATCAACACATTTAATGCAATCCCTATCAAAATGCCATCAACTTTTTTCAAAGAAATGGAACAAATAAACCTAAAATTTTTATGGAACCAGAAAAGACCCCAAATAGCCTGAGGAATGTTGAAAAAGAAAAGTGAAGCTGGTGGTATCACAATTCCAGACTTCAAGCTCTATTACAAAGCTGTAATTATCAAGACAGTATGGTACTGGCACAAAAACAGACACATAGATCAATGGAACAGAATAGAGAGCTCAGAAATGGACCCTCAACTCTATGTTAAACTAATCTTCGACAAAGCAGGAAAGAATGTGCAATGGGAGAAAGTCTCTTCAACAAATGGTGTTGGGAAAATTGGATAGCCACATGCAGAAGAATGAAACTGGACCATTTCCTTACATCACACACAAAAATAGACTCAAAATGGATGAAAGACCTCAATGTAAGATGGGAATCCATCAAAATCCTAAAGGAGAACACAGGCAGCAACGTCTTCGACCTCAGCTGCAGCAACTTCTTAAAAACATCGCCAAAGGCAAGGGAAGCAAGAGCAAAAATGAATTATTGGGACTTCATCAAGATAAAAAGCTTTTGCACAGCAAAGGGAACAGTCAACAAAACCAAAAGGCAACTGACAGAATGGGAGAAGATATTTGCAAATGACATTTCAGATGAAGGGCTAGTATCCAAAACCTTATTATAAAGATCTTATCAAACTCAACACCCAGAGAACAAATAATCCAATCAAGAAATGGGCAGAAGACATGAACAGACATTTCTGCAAAGAAGACATCCAAATGGCCAATAGACACATGAAAAAGTGTTCGTCACTCGACATCAGGGAAATACAAATCAAAACCTCAATGAGATACCACCTCGCACCAGTCAGAATGGCTAAAATTAACAAGTCAGGAAACGACAGATGTTGGCGAGGAAGTAGAGAAAGGGGAACCCTCCTACACTGTTGGTGGGAATGCAAGCCGGGGCAGCCACTCTGGAAAACAGTATGGAGGTACCTCAAAAAGTTGAAAATAGAGCTACCCTACAACCCAGCAATTGCACTACTGGGTATACAAATGTAGTGATCCGAAGCGGCACATGCACCCCAATGGTTATAGCAGCAATATCCACAATAACCAAACTATGGAAAGAGCCTAGATGTCCATCAACAGACGAATGGATAAAGAAGATGTGGTGTGTATACACACACACACACACACACACACAGGAATATTATGCAGCCATCAAAAATGAAATCTTGCCATTTGCAACGACGTGGATGGAACTAGGTGGTATTATGCTAAGCAAAGTAAGTCAATCAGAGAAAGACAATTATCATATGATCTCACTGATATGAGGAATTTGAGAAACAAGACAGAAGATCATAGGGGAAGGGAGGGAAAAATGAAAAAGGATGAAATCATAAAGGGAGACAAACAATAAGACTCTTAATCTCAGGAAACAAACTGAGGGTTGCTGGAGTGGAGGGCGGGGAGGGATGGGGTGGCTGGGTGATGGACACTGGGGAGGGTATGTGCTATGGTGAGCGCTGTGAATTGTGTAAGACTGATGAATCAGACCTGTACCCCTGAAACAAATAATACATTATACGTTAATATAAATAAATAAATAAATAAAACTCTTTGTTGTCTCTGCTTTCACATCTAAATCATTCAGGTAACCTTTTAAAGCACTGGCTTCCTTTGTTAAGTTCTGTGTCTTCTGCTCAAGAGTATAGGATATAATAGGTACAGAACTTTGTAAAATAGAAGTCCATGAACAGATAAATTACTTAATGAATATTAAGTCGTGATAAAACTTATATTAACAGCAAGTTTTCTTGAAAGGCCAAGTACTAAACTAATATTTTAGAGAAAGAGAGCGAGTCGGGGGGGTGGGGCATAGGGGAAGCATCTTAAGCAGACTCTGTGCTGAGTGTGAAGCCTGACACCAGGCTGGATCTCATGACCCCAAGATCATGACCTAAGCTGAAATCAAAGAGTCGGAGGCTTAATTGACTGAGTCACCCAGGCATCCCAAACTAATATTTTAACTTAAAGGTAATAATATTGTCACTTCTTTTTACAGACCTCAAAAGACAAGGAGGAAAACAAGTTATGCTTTCCCTTATTTGCACTCTGTGCCAGGTTTTAAAATCATGGAGTCTGTGAAAGGAATCTAAACTCCAATTCAGTGGCATTTATTTTTAACTATTTTCTTCTATTTTTATTCAGAGAGAATGCAAGCACATTTACCAAAAAAAGCCAATATATGCATTCTAATAGTGTGAGTACTAAGGTAAATGAAGGCTATCTGTGCCTGAGGTACAAAAGAAGGCCTGGCAAAGATGGATGTAGTTATTACAAGAAAGGCATTTTATTTCATAATTATGCAATTATTTACTAAACATTTTTCTCCAAGAATTTGGGGCACAGATTATTTAAAAATGTATGTCATAAGCCAGAATTTAAAATGAGACTAAGCCATGCTAAATTCCAGCTCTACTTAACAAACTGATCTTGAACAAATGATATAATGCCTATGAGCCTCAGTTCCCACATTACAGTTAAGCAATTATAAACACTGAAAAGTCATCATGCAAAATGTGTAAGTAATTATAACGTTCAACGTGATTAAGCATTCACACATAATATATAAATTAAAACACCAGATTGGAATCTATTCAACATGTCAGACATGAGAGTTTTTTGTAGTTCTAGATAATGAGAAAATAAAGAAATCAGGCAAAAGATAAAAAGAATATAGGGAGGAAAATCTTAATTGGGAATATAAGCAAAATATAGATGCTGGAAAACAGAGCATGGATTAATCCCCACTAATCATCAGTCCATCTACTGCCTTATCAGTTAGCAGTTTTCAGACCAAAACAGGAAAGGTCTCCAGAATCCATGACAAAGAGATGCCTTCAGGATGAAAGACTGGACAGTAAGGTCCTTCTGCACAATTTATTACTGAATTTAAGTTAAGCCAATGCTTCTACAGTATATATATTCAGTATTTCTAAAGGGCCATGAGAGTACACACATAGACAGAAAACATCTATATAATCCCTCTTCTCAAGAGACAGATTACAGAGAAAACACTGAGAGAGTAAAAGGAATCTGAATGAAGAGATGAACTTTTAATTACTTTCTGAGTTATGCACAATGGTGGGGCCAAAGAATTTTGAAAACAAATCTATGCATTAAAGAAATGAAAATTCAAAAATCTGATAACCTTTTTTACAAGTCTATCTAATTCACTGTCATAATACTTAGAATATCAGGACCTTTGAATAAAGTAAAAGTCCTTCTAATCTCAGGCCTTTTAATTCTATGAATTTCATTAACTACAATGTTATTAATTAATCGAATCTAGCATTTTACGGTGATTTTATAATTGGGAATCATTTTTTGCATTAATAGTAGCAAATTAGCAAACCCTCCCTTGTAAAGACTCAATAATAAATTTCAAACTGGTTTGTGTGTGGGTGTGCATATATATATAATACCACTCTCTTAGAAATAAAATAATTTGGGAATTTTATTAAACTGATTAATTCAACTAAAAATAAAAAGATGTCTCCTTTACTTATAGCCTGCATTCAAAGTGTTTGTCTTTTGAACAAAGACTATATTAAAAATACTTCTCCCACATAAAAACCTGCACACAAATGTTTACAGCAGCTTTACTCATAACTGCCAAAACTTGGAAGCAAGCAAGATGTACTTCAACAGATGAATGGATAAATAAACTGTGGCACATTCATACACTGGAATATAACTGAGCAGTAAAAAGAAATGAGCTATCGAGCCATGAAAAGACATGGAGGAGCCTTAAATCCATATTTTCAAATAAAAGAAGCCAGTCTGAAAAGGTTACAGTATGATTCCAACTATGTCACATTCTGGAAAAGGCAAAACTGTGCAGACAATAAAAAGATCAATGGTTACCAGAGGTTCATGAAGGAAAGAGGGAGAGATGTCTGTGTGAAACACAGGGTTGTTTTTTTTTTAAGATTTTATTTATTTATTTGACAGAGAGAGAGAGCACAAGTAGGCAGAGCAGCAGGGAGAGGGAGAGGGAGAAGCAGGCTCCCCACTGAGCAAGGAGCCGGATGAGGAACTCAATCCCAGGACCCCGGGGATCATGACCCGAGCCAAAGGCAGATACTTAACCGACTGAGCCACCCAGGCCTCTGGAAATAAGGGGATTTTGAAGACAGTGAAACTATTCAGTAATGATGGATACATGGCATTAAGCATTTGTCAAAACCCACATAATGTACAATACAAAGAGTAAACCCTAATGAAAACTGTGGACTTTAGTTAATAATAATGTATCAATATTGGTATATCAATAGTAACAAATGTACCAACTAATACAAGATGTTAATAGGGGAAAAGAGAGAGAGCTATGGGCACTCTCTATACTTTCTCAATTTTTGTATAAACTTAAAACTGCTCTAAAAAATAAAATTCACTGGGGCACCTGGCTGGCTCAGCCAGTGGATCATGTGACTCTTGATTTCCAGGTTGTGAGTTTGAGCCCTATGTTGTGTGTAGAGATTATTTAAAAATAAAATCTTTAAAAATAGTAATAATAATAATAGGGTGCCTGGGTAGCTCAATCGGTTAAGTGTCTGCCTTCAACTCAGGTCATGATCCCAGGGTCCAGGGATCAAGTCCCGCATCGGGCTCCCTGCTCATCTGGGATTCTGCTTCTCCCTCTACTCCTCACCCCTGCTCTGATCTCTCTCTCTCTCTCTCTCTCACTGTCTCTCTCTCTCAAATAAATAAATAAAACCTTTAAAAAATAATAATAATAAATAAATTTACTAATAAAAAAACCCACTTTTCCTATTTTTTTTTTCCCTGATAGTAAAGTAGCCCTGGCTACAAGATAATTGCTATCTTCTGATTTGTTTTTGCCAGTGACAGGACACTGATTTTTAAGTTAATTTTTTTATTCAACAATTAAATTACACATATTCAAACTCTTCTACTATAGTACTATGTTGAAAGTAACTTTTTTTTTTTTTTTTAATTTTATTTGACAGAGAGAGACAGCAAGAGAGGGAACACAAGCAGGGGGAGTGGAGGAAGGAGAAGCAGGCTTCCCGCCGAGCAGGGAGCCCAATGCGGGGCTTGATCCCAGGACCCTGGGATCATGACCTGAGCTGAAGGCAGATGCTTAACAACTGAGCCACCCAGGCGCCCCGAAAGTAACTATTTTTAGTTGTTGTAATATTATAAGATGAACACAGAAAAAAATTTTAAATATATATATAATTTGAAATGCTTCTCAAAACTGAGAAATTATTCATACCAAGAAACAAAGTAATAATTTGATTTTTACTTCAACTCTGCCTAGAACATAATTTCCCCCAAATGAACTGCTTATATTAACTGATATCATGAAGGAGGGAAAATTGGTTCTGTACTCAAATGATTTCGGATATGGGAAGTTAAAAACTATTTAAATAGTTAAAGCCATTTCTTTGCTGTAGGACTACTCAGAGATTTTGGTATGGTGGTATTAGCTGGGAATTTCCATAAGGGGAATATAATGTGTAGTAATTACCAGAAAATATGACCATGAAACCTCTTCTACACAGTTACTACATGGAGTAGTATGCAGCATTGACAAAGAATACCAAAAGCATTTGGGAAAGCACTCACAAAGAATACCAAATGCAAACATAAGGAAAATCAGTTTTGCAAAGACCCAAGTATAGAGCACAGAAGTAATTTTGTTAAAAAAAAAAAAAATTCAGTTTGATCTAAGAGCAAGAAAAATTTGGATTTCATTCATTCAATCATAAAACATTTGCTGAATGTATGCTATGTGCAAATCATGAGAGTATAAAAGCCAGGACATTCACAAAAAACTGCAAATAGGTGATCCCAGCCAACACATAATACACAGTGAAAGACAAGAGTAAATCAAAATATTTGACAAGAGGTATTTAAATATACAATTTAGACTCTAAGAGTCACTAAATTTTTTTTAGTAGAGAGATAACATGACAATTGTGGTAGTGTGAAATTAACATGGTAGCAATATATAGGATGGGCTGGAATAGGTCAAAACTATTGAAATCATTAAGAAGAGAAAGGGGGAAGAGATCGAGAGATACTTCAGAGGGAGTAATAAAGGCAACAGACTATCATCCAAAAGAAGATGAAAGTCCTCAATAATACTATTGATTACTGAATACTAAAAGTTAACTATCTTTTAAGTTTCATAGATTCCTGAGTTTCTACAATCACTTATACAATAAACAAAGTATTAAAAAAGGATTTTGGTTTAAAGGAATACTTTCACAGCATTTGTGAATATCAGTTAATGCATCAGTAATCATACATAGATATTTAAGGTGAAAGTTGGTATATAAAAATCACTCAAACTTTGTAGTAGAAAACTGTATTACCTTTCTGACTGGCTTTAACTATCACCTCTATATGCTTCATTGCTGCTTTTAATAGTTTCTTGGTTATAATAGATGGAATATCCACCTAGAAAAATTCAACATTAAAATAAAACTTTTAAAACAATTATCAATGAGTTACAATGGCAGGAGCACTCTATTTAAGATACTGGAACACATGATCTTAAAAATTAGAGATATTATTTAGAATCTTTCAAAAATATAATTTAAAAGCGCTTTATATTCTTGGATCATACTAACTACAACTTTAGACAGTTCCTCTATCACACTAAAGAAAATATATCTTAATATGCATGCACTATGTATACTAAATTTTCCCACAAAATAATATCTTTATTCTTGATTTCTTTAATATGTTTCTTTTAAACATATTCAAAGAAAAATCTCAAGTAACTTAACACTTTGGGGCCATAAATTTCTGTCTATTAAGGTTACTTAAGGATTAAGTATTTTTATTCAGCTTACAAGATAAATCTTGGTTTTAAGCTATATAGAAGCATTCTACTTTGGAATGATAATCAATTTCATGATTCCCCACAGACATTTTTCAGCTTAAAGGCTAGAAACTGTAGTGACTATGGTAGGTTAGTGATGCAGGACTGAAGGCTTATATGTATACACATGAGAGAGACAACAAAATAACTAAAACTAAATTGCAAATAAAATGAATCACCAAAAAGCATGTTTACTGGACTTCAACAGGTTTATCTTCTACCACAAAACTCAACACATTTTCCCTTTATCAAAGCATGAAAAAATTGCATCACAGCAAAGTTTTGTATTAATGTTTCAATTATTTTTAATTTCCATATTAAGGAAGGGGGGGGAATCACAGGCTAATAAATCTAATAAGTATGATGGATCATAAACCCCCAATTTTTAGTGATTTACCAGTAAAACCCAGAGCAGTTTACAGGTATCTTTTAGCTATGTAAGATCAAACATAGTAAGTGGGAATATTTTTGTTAGTAGTATACCTTGTTGCAAAATAACATTACTCTTTATTTCTCTCTGGCTTCTTGTCCTCAATGACTATAGGTTGCTGTAATATTTATCAAATAAACAGGATGTTTTCATTTACAAACATTTTATAAAATCTTGTCTTCTGAGAATACTCATGAAAATTTTCCTTTTTAAGTTCCATTTTAGAGACTTCAGGTCAGAATCAAAATGATAAAATAATGGGCTCATCACTAAACTTTAATTAAAAAAAACCAAAAAACAAAAAACAAAAAAAACCCACTGTGGATGATTCTTTGTTTTCATTATCCCCCAAACTGCCAATTTAAATTATTTAGGCAATGGTATCAGGGACAGAACACTGTACTAAGATGACCAGGCATAATCACTGGCCCATTGACTACTACTTCTGACACTTTGACAAAGGTACTTTCTATAAAATGGGTATGATAATGATCCACTTATCTGCTGGGACAGTGATGCAGATAAAATGAAAAGAAAGGATAGAAAGTTTAACCATCCAGAAAACAGAAGAAAATATTTGCAAATCATATGTATGAACTCTTACAACTCAATAATACATAGACAACCCAGTTAAAAAATAGGCAAAGAATCTGAATAGACATCACTCCAAAAAAGATATACAAATGGCCAATAAGCAAATGAAAAGATGTTCAATGTCGTAAGTCATCAGGGAAATGCAAATCAATGCCACAATGAGACCACTTCATACCCATTAGGCATGGTTGGAATAAAAAAACGAGATAATAACTAGTTCTGGCAAGGATAGAGAGAAATCAGAACCCTCATATACTACTGATGGGAATGTAAAAATGGTGCAGCCACTTTGAAGAGTCTGGCCGTTAATCAAAAACTTAAATAGAGTTACCATTTGACTCAACAATTATACTCCTAAGTATATACGAAAGAAAAATGAAAACATATATCCCTACAACCATCAAAAACACTTGTACACAAATGCTATGGCAGCATTATCCATAATAGCAAAAAAGTGGAAATAATCCAAATGTCCATCAACTGATGGATGAATAAACAAAATATGGCATATCCACACACAATGGAATATTATTTAGACATAAAAAAAGAAAGAAGTACTGATACATGCTACATCATTAACATGGATGAACTTTGGAAACATTATGCCAAGTCAAAAAAACCAATCAGAACAGGCCACATATTACGTGATTCCATTTATATGAAATGTCCAGAATAAACAAATCTATAGAGACAGAAAGTAGACTGGCTATTGGCTAGATCTAAGAAGATGAGAGAACAAGGGTTTATGGCTAAAGGGTATGAGGTCTCTTTGTGGGTGATAAAAATGCTGTAAAATTGTGGTGATGGCTGTGTAAATCCAGAAATATGCTAAAAACCACTGAATTATACACTTTAAATAGGTGAACTGTCTGGTATACAAAGTAGACCTCAATAAAGCTGTTACCAAAAAATACATATAATGCAATCCAAGTATGAAGTACTATGATTTTAAAATCACTAGGCTATCGCAAAGCCTAACTGAGCAGAGCTATTCTACTAAGTAATACCTATAAATTTATTGTAATGAGTCAGCTTTTTGATCATTTTATTTGACTTTAAGTTGTAATTTAAGTGGCTTATCACCAACCAATTGATATTTTTACCAAATCTTTTACTCCAGTTAAATAATCTATACAGCTGCCTGAGATCTTTATTAAACAAGATGAATAATTTTATCAACTTGTTTCTGTTTATAAAATGGTAAAAAAAACTCATACCAAAAAAAAAAAAAGGTGAACAGAAATGCACAGAAAGAACCAAAAATCAGCATCAACCCACCATGAAAGTAAGAGTTAACAGTGATAAGGATATATATGCACCGTTAATATATGTATTAACAAGCTTTAATATGTGAGCTTTGTTTTCAATGTGGAAAAATACCACATATATTATTTTCCAGCCTCTTCCACTTGATTATGTAAGAAAAATAATTTCTCATGTAAATAAGTACTATTCTATAAAATGATTTTTCATAGCTGCACAGAATTCTGTAATTGGCATATACTATATATATATATATATATATTTTTTTTTTTAAGATTTTATTTACTTGAGAAAATGAGAGAGAGAGAGAGAGCACATGAGAGGGGGAGTGTCAGAGGGAGAAGAAGACTCCCCGCTGAACAGGGAGCCCGATGCGGGACTTGATCCCGGGACTCCAGGCTCATGACCTGAGCTGAAGGCAGTCACTTAACCAACTGAGCCACCCAGGAGCCCCGGCTTGTAATATATTTTAATCAACAATCTTATCATTAGACGTCAGCTTTCCTTTTCAGTTTTCCTTATTATAAATTATACTACAATGAATCTCTGGGCATACATTTTTACATACATCTGTAAATATTTCTTTAAAATATATTAACAAAAACAGAACTAAACTTGGGAGTATAGACATTTTTAAGTCTTTTAATAAAGATTACCAAACTGCCTTCCAGTATAAGAATTATACCAATTTGAGATTAAGAATTCCTCATATCAGTGAGATCATATGATACATGTCTTTCTCTGATTGATGGGAGGGATGGGGTGGCTGGGTGACAGACATTGGGGAGGCTATGTGCTATGGTGAGCACTGTGAATTGTGTAAGATTGATGAATCACAGACCTGTACCTCTGAAACAAATAACACATTATATGTTTAAAAAAAAAAAAAAAAAAAAAAGAAGATAGTAGGAAGGGAAAAATGAAGGGGAGGGAATCAGAGTGGGAGACGAACCATGAGAGACTATGGACTCTGAGAAACAAACTGAGGTTTCTGGGGGGGGGGATGGGTTAGCCTGGTGATGGGTACTAAGAGGGCACATATTGGAGGGGGGAAAGATGGTGGAGGAATAAGGGACCCTATTTCAACCGGTCCCCGGAATTGAGCTGGATATCTACCAGACCACTCTGAGCACCCACGAAACCAGTCTGAGATGTAAGAAAATCTGGATCTCAACAAACAGAATATCGCAGGCAGTTGGTTTTGAGGTACGAAGCGGGGAGCCATGATTCCGCGGGCAGATATCGGAGTATAAACGGCAGCAGGAGGGTGCCTGGCCGTGGGGATCCTACACCACTGGTGAGCCACAGCCTCACTCGCTGGGGACGGGGCACAGACCCACAGACCAGCAGAGGTGGGGATAGGACTTAAGGGCAGCCCCTGGGGCGGGAACCCGGAGCAGTGGGGTCACATGTGAGAAATGGGAGCGGCTGGCATTTTTAGAAGCACAAAGGGCAGAGACGTGCCCCGAACTGGAGGCAGGACTGGGAGCGCTGCGGAGGGGCGCACAACCCAGGACGCTGCAGTTTATAGCAGCACAGACAGAAACAGAGACGGTGTGGCCTGGAGAGCTCACTGAAGAACAGACCGAGGTCTCTCTGCTCTGAGGCAGAGGGTTGGAAACGGTCTCTTCTGCTCTGACTTGCAGAACAGATGCGGAAAGCCGCCAGAGAAAGCCGCCAGAGAACAAAAGCCCCAAAAACTGATTCCCGCTGAGCCCATCCCCCGCCACAGGGGGACAGCGCAACTCCGCCCAAACAGGGTTCTATGAGTAACAGCGCGGCAGGCCCGTCCTGCAGAAGAAAGGCTGGGAAAACAAGAGGCCAGCAACCCTAAGGTCCCAAGAATACAGGTGCATCTTGCTTGGGTTCTGGTCAATAATTTGGACTCTATACATTCCTTCAAACACCCATCAACAGAATGACTAGGAGGAGCAGCCCCCAAAACAGAAAACACTCAGAGATTATGACTTATGCTGCAGATTTACAAATGGATGCAGATATAACCAAGATGTTGGAGATGGAACTCAGGCTAGCAATTGTGAAAACAATGGCTAGAATGGAGAAATCAATTAATGGCAACATAGAGTCTCTAAGGGCAGAAATGAAAGCTGAATTGGCAGAACTTAAAAATGCTATCAATGAGATCCAATCTAGATAATCTAACAGCTAGAGTAAGTGAGGCAGAAGAGCGAATAAGCGACCTGGAAGACAATATAATAGATAAAAAGGGAAAAGAGAAGGCCAGGGAAAAACAACTCAGAAGCCAAGAAAATAGAATCAGAGAAA